TTTAAAGGTGTTTTAATATGTGATTGAAATAGATTTATATATGTGAATATGATAAAGTTGATAAAGTATACTACATATAGTCATTGTTTATGACATTGTTTAACAGCTAAAAATCACCATCAAATGAATAGGGCATGGGGTGATGCCATGATTACAGTAAGTACTATGACTTTTGATATTGTTGCAGAAATGGCATCACCTTAATACTAAGTACATTGAATCTAAGAAATGCTGATCCTGTAACGGATACCTTGTTCTCTATGGAGTTAAGATACATGAAGACAGAAGCTCCTACTCCTAACAGTTGTGCTACTGGAACAGTGATGGCGAGAACACGGAGTAGGAGGGAGCGCTGAGACTTGTTTCGCTTTTGGCGTCCACAAATGTTTGCAGCACTGGTGGTGCATCCTGTGTGTAGCCAATAACTGATGTTTGTTATCATATCTCTATTTGTAATTGTCATGTGTAGGTTTTGTACCCTTATTCAGAAGAAGGACACTGAAATAAAGTCAGGTTGTATTTTGTCGTAATTATGTAAATAGGCAATTATAATTAGTAAAGCAAAAGTTGCTTTGATGTAGAACCTTTAGGTCAACTTAGATAACAATCAGATGAATATAATAGTAACAATATGAAATGTTTCTTACTTGCCTAGTAAGCGGCTGGCAGGCTACTTCTCTAGTGTATTTTAAAGATGATCATAAATATATGACAATTATCACCATGTCATTGTGCATGTAAAAGTATCACCATAGAGTAAATTCCGCGTCACCGCGTGTTTTTTTTTCACCATGTTTGTCATTTTGAATAATTTGGGACAGGCTGTCTTCCAGGTTTATTGATTTTCTCCCGTCCAGCTCAACAGAATGCCCGGTAAGCGTGTTACGCTCGTAGGAGTTTGCACGCCAGTGGTAGATTACGATTGGCCATTAACGTTAGATACGTACCGTATATACGCTGGCTATAGTTAGCTACACTTGATCGATGACTCATAGAGGTACTTTCTCACACATTTCAATCCCACAAAATATTTTGAACTACATACCCACAAGGGTCTGCGTCCCAAGTGAACAACTGAAACAGTAGGTTGACCAGATCAAATATTTAGTCACAGATCAGCCAACAGAATGGAGTAAACAAACGGTAACATTACAATTTTTCATGTATCCATCCGCTCTGGCCATGCGAGACCTATTATCTGTCATTACGCTCACTAAACTAGTAACATAAACAAAACATGACCAAATTGCGAACGTTTAGACTTTGCCTGGTTCTTCTTGCTCAAATGTATCTAAAGTGGACCAACATTTCCAAGACAAACAAATGTATTAACTAGAGACTAGATTTATGTTCCCATTTAGGGGCCTTCATTGCGCAACACAATGGTGACGTCAGTACAGCAAGCAGCCTCGATATCCTCCTTGTTTACCACGGACATTTCGAAGCAATAATAAGTTTTGGTTCTTTAAAAAAGCAGATTGCGATATATGTAAGCGGAGCCATGGAGGTCATTCATACGCAGTGTTGAGCTCACAATGAGTGGAAAGCTACAAATATCCACCGTTGCCATCAGTTGTAGTATTTTGTCCACAAATATCTACACAGGTACTTGAGTAGATGTCTATCTCTCAATACTACATTATTGCCAGCTATATGTAAAAGCTTAACTTTCAATTCGAGTTCCGGCAAATTAAATATTCTCCATACCTTTTATAGAATATATAGAATATTATTCAAAGAAACGAATAATAAAGAAACATGACATGTTCAGTACTCAATCCCCACTACCGAATAGAATCAATTCAAGTGCACTCGATATACAGCCATGAAAATGTCACCAATGAAGTAAACGAAAAGTTGCACAGTAATAGCATAAAAACAGCAGAACGTACCTCCGTCCTCAGTTTGTTGTTGCGGACCAGGGTCGTGCATTGCGTTACCGAGTAGGTCATCAGTAGCCACATGAGGTGTACCGGCATTCGTCTGCTCACCGGTGTGTAGTTTATTAAGGATTTCATCTTGGTCTATGTAGTTGTAAACATGGCTGTCTACGTCTTCGTAGTTGTCATTGGCAGCAGGTAGCTCAACCACGTTCTCCATATCTGTGGTGGAAACTGCCAAAATAAGTTCAGTTCTCTCATACAAAACACATCATTCTTGACAAATGTCATATAATAAGGGAAACGGGTTTCTAGAAGACAAGACTCAGGAATATTTTCTAAAACCAGTCTCTTTATGTTGGAAAACATTTACAATTTTTCGTTCAACTTAAGCGCTGTTAAAATTTCTGATCATATATGAACATTGATTTAGATATTTTAGAATTATATTAACACAGCAAACACGGATATTTATCTAGATTATCAAGTTAATTCAACAATATAATTTTCATATCTAATGCATTGCAGTTTGCCTGTGGACTATGTACGTAAGTGGGAGAATCATATGTTATTTTTCCAATAAATGTAAACAATAACAAAAGGTTATAACTTACCTTTGTTAATATCTTGGTGTAAAGGGGACCTCATCTTGTTACAAACTCTGTTTTCTCTGCTAGACTCTTCTTCCATTTAACGTATCATCTGAGCAATTTATGGAGCTAAAGGTTGGAAATCTTCTATCTTTATTTTAGTGATAAATTCTGACAATAATCACTGTACCACCGCCGTTGAAACAGGGAAACAGCCGTTGAAACTCGGAAAAAAGAGATTTGCCTAGACGGCAGGTAAGTAAGATCTCATGAAAAATTAAGTCACTTAGGTTAAAGTTCAACTCCAAGATGATTCTGATCTTCAATTCGAAAAGCAATCTTGCTTTCGGTGATGCGTCTGCACTCCAGCGTTGATATCACCCCATGATTTATGCAATAAATCAATATTTAGTGCGAAAAACAAGATTGCTTTCAGCGATGAGTCTGGGCTGCATGCAGATAAAAACGGCAACGTCGCCCACGGTTCAAGTTGATGATGCATGTAAGTAGTGATTTTTAAAAAGAAATAGGTGCAAAATGTAACTTTGTAGAAGGTTTCTTACTTGTTACTTTGCATATAAAAGCAACACTACAAACCTAGAACCTTTAGAGAGATTACAGCTTGATATTTGGTGCGGTTGACCTATAAAAAGACCAGGGAATTAACGGGAAAATGCAGTTGTACTTTCCTCAAATGACAAAAAAATTTGCATCATTAATTGTATATTGTACTGACTTAATATCATTGAAAAAAAATTCAAATTTCTATGACGTACCGTTATATAATGATTGTTACCTTTGCCAAGAAGGTTATGTTTTCCATACCTTACGTGTGTGTGTGTGCGCGTGTGTGTGTGTGTAGTTGTGTGTAAACATTATAACTCATGATAGATGACAGTCGTTTTGCATCCAAATATCATCTATTGAAAGAAAAGAAATTGTGAAGAAAAACTTTCGTACTCCGAGCTAGTTTTATTGTTTGCCTCTCGACCAATTATATTTCAAGAGAACAGCCTTTGCTTTGACATTGTATTAATATCTCTAGAAAAGTATATCATTTTTCGACTACGTCACTGTAGATGCTATTTTCTATAGTGCGTTGGCATTTTAATAGATTTCCATTGTCTCGACTAGAACCAATTATTATACTTGCCTGGCCTACATTAAAGAAGAAAAAAGATGCCATCCCAATTTTCAACGTTAAATACACAAAAACAAAACTACTATCCTCTTAACATCACGAAATACACACAGAGAAATTGGATATTTTGTTTCCCACTGCCTCAAAAAAGAAGTCAAACACAATTTAAAATTTAAGATCCAGCTATAACACTAGAGTAGTCACATTTGTTATATTTGTATTTGTCTCATTCTTAGTCCTTTTCCTATGTTTATTTTAGGCTCAAATTTTTCTTGTACAATTTTGAAATGAGCCATCTTGTTGTTTGCGCATTTACGTCATTTCAGACAGACTGATAGTCATATCTGGTTGTTAGCCATCGATTAGCCAATCGACAAGGATTTGCAATAAACTTATCATTATTTGTTATGTCGTTGTATAAATGTGACAATAATGGAATATAAAATTAGAATTTTCAGCACATATTACTAAATCTCGCTATAGCATGCGCAGTTTAAACTACATCACTTGTTTAAAAGGTTGTCACCGCTTATCGGAATATAAGACGTTTCAACCATTGAGCAGTCAGATTTTTAAACGTCTTTTTTAAAACCTTGTTGCTGTCAATAACGTTCGAGTGCATAAGTGACTAGTAACATTATAAGCCATCACAAACATGCAGTTATTACATTTTTACATATCTCTTACTGAGCATTCAATTTCAAACAGTGACTGTATCCATAGTTCTATATTTAAACTTGCAGATTGTATTTTTGCCGACCAACATCAACTCATTGATGCATTCAATCTTACATCAGAAAGGTGATATCCATCTTGTATGGGTGTGTAACATGAGTGTGTAACCATATTCAGAAAAGATCCTTTCTACTTACAACTACAATGTTTGACATTTGTACATTCAAAAAAGAAATGCCCAATATATTCTACACAATCCCAGACAGTACATCTATTATTTGTTACTATTCCTTGTTTGCAAAGACTAGCCCTTCTTTGATATATATTATGCTAAATCTTCCATTCTAATGACAGCAATTTTTTTTGGCAATTCGAAAAAAATTCTAAACGTCTTCAAATAAATTACTCGCACATAAAAAGGCCAAACAACATAACATTGCATGGGCCAAAATGCACTTTATATGTTTGTGCACCATTGCAATGTATGTGCATTATTGTATGTACATGTGAGTCTACTGTTTATAATCGTAGCATAATGAAGGTGCCCAACGGGTGCCATTTTCATAGCATGGCGTCAACCATTAAAGGCATATTTTATCCTTTCTCTACCTCGCTATAGCTTGATACCCCTTGCTACGCTAAAAATTAAAACACATGTTTAGGAGAATTTCATATGCTGTAATGTAGGCAAAATGTATATTGAAATTTCTCCATTTAGGCTGGAGGACGCTGACAGATGAATCTCTTCTTATTGAAGCAAGCATCGTCGTCCCACATGGGGTATCCAGACCCTGAGAAGAGCCAGCTGTATGACTTGGGAGGTTAATCCATGGGAGTTATGTAAGAAAAAAGTGTCAAAAGTCAGCTAATCGAGTTTTAGACTGATTCAGATCAGGCATTTATCTTAACATGCTGGGACAGAGGGGGGTGGGGGGCTTTTGACGCCCTCCCCCTGTAACTCAGCAATTACTTAAAAGAGATCTTAAGTCAATCATGACTGGCAGATCCATGTGGAATGCAGTTGTGCAGCAACTAACCCCGTCCGCAAGAGACGACGGCTGATGCTGATCAAAGGGCCGCCAAATTTTCAGAGGATGCTGTTTTAGTAAAAATTGAATCATAACAACAACTTTTTGTGTCATTTCGACGTCATTTATGCGATTTATCAGGCTAAAACCTTCAAATTGAGTTTTCTTGTAATCCTCTGGGGAATACAACCAACCTTGGAAAATTGTCTATGATAGAATATTAAGGCCTAATAAGACTTATGTAGTCCGTGGCAACAACGCTAGTGTCAAATTGACGTTATAATATGACCCCATGCATATTCTAGCTGTCCGCCATCTTGGATCGTCACAATCTTGATTTTTTTTTTAAATTACAGTTTCAAGATACAGCCTAAAAACACAACGCAAATGGACTGAAGATATTCTAATGAATGTTTTATATTAGAGAATACGGAGTTGCGATGAAACTGGTTATCTTGCCACCTTGGATTTTGAGCAATGATGACATCGAATTAGCATAAATCATGAATGTATCATTTTAAAATTTACATTTAAGTATATATAATGTTTTAATGTTAGAAAGTGCGTATTATTAACTAAAAAGTTTTAATGTTTAGATGAAAATTACGGAATTTTCCAAAAACTGTGACTGTGATTAACCGTTGGCGTGGCAACGCCAAAATCTATTAACATATCTCTTTTATATGAAATTGTTGCTAGATATATACATTGTAGGGAAGCCACCAAATTTGAGTAGCGAAAGCCGTTCAGGCGCCATTCGAGATAAAACTTCTCATCTCTAAATTAAAAAAAAAGTTACAAAATTCTGCACGGAACAAAGGACCAAGAAAATCATCTAAATACACACAAATGGCCCTCAGAGCAGCTAGCTGAATACTACATTCAATCAGACATGAATCTTCTTAAGTAAAGAGTCTAAGTTTTAACAAAATAAAAAGAAAGTGACAAATTACCTGTAGCATCCAGAACTAAAACGCCAACATCATTAATTGCATTTGCTCAGATTACTGACCTTTGCCCAGTACTGTCCACACCATCCGCTGTTACTTGGCACGCCTGGATTCCATCCCTATTTGAAGAGCAAGGAGAGGTTTAAAATGTCAAAGAGGCAACCGTATTTGCGTACGGAGTTATTGGAATAGATATAAAAAATATAAAAGGAGATAAGCTGAACTGTTGCATGCATTGTAATTTCTTAGTTACCTTTGGGTACCCGGGTGCATTTTGTTTTCATTTTAAAACGCATAGAGATCACTGGTTACTTGTATAAGTGTAACTTAAAAGTGTACGATCGAGGGGCATTCAAAAAGCCTTATGATATTAGAGGGAAGAAATATCCTCTATCAGTGATAAACACGTTGTACCAACATACCTTGTACCCGTTGTTGCCGACCTTTGACCCGTCCACCCAATACCAGGTTCCGTCTTTCTCCTCCATACCGATCCAGTGTTGTTTGTTGAATCCAACCCTTTTGACCAGATCTCTCAGAGCGACGTCCAGTTCTTCCGTTTTTGGCATGGCCAGTGTGGCTCCTTCATTCCTGCATGCCTCCTTTGCCCCGTCATGGGACTTCCCGAAAATCCAGGTTATGCCCGGCATGCCAATGAGCTTGATGCAGGTCCCGACGACGAGTCTGTAGCCGTTTTTGCAGCGGGGACCTGAAAAGAACAACGGAAAGCAATGTGAAATTGACATCTATTGTTTTAGCTTAGCCCTTCATACCACACGGAGTAAACGGTTTTTAAACCAAGAATCAGCCAAACGTCACTGGTCATTCAGGGATGGATTCTGAACCAGTCAGAATGGCCCAGAGGAAGGTTACAGACGGTCACCGAAACGTCGGCTATATGAGACTTGGCTGTGTAAAAAGAGTCTCTTTACTCAGTAGTTACAGAAAGTAATGATGTAATTGTTGAATATGATCTATTTCAAAATTTACACAGGCATGTTAAAGGCTTGTGCTAGAAGCTACCCACTTTACACATTCCTTCGTTATTTTTCGCGTACTTCTTTCTTCTGTAGAAAGTACATGTGGTTTATATTTAAGGTATTGTTTGTAATAACAATCCCCAAAGGTTATATAATATATATGTCTAACCGTTTGTGTTGTTGAATGAGTCGCCGTGTACGGGTGGTGGACGTGGAAATGTCCAATCTTTCTCATCAGTATCCTGGATCAAGTGTGGAGGAAACTAAACAAATACTGAATTTAAAGGTTCTATTAATTCAAGAGCTCAATGTGTGATTTTACATACATAAAGAAAGATGGAACAAAGAGTAACGGTGGTAATGTTAATAAAGGAAAAAGACATAATTGAGCAATACATTCCTTCATTCTACAGGAAACTATCGATTTTAATTTTCAAGCTACGGCTATTTGTTTTAATATTCTCTCATCTGTT